AGCAACATGCCCTGGGACATTGCCAGGAAAACGCACACTATAGTCTTGGTTCTACAGGGAATCAAACCCGGGGCCGCGTATTGGAAAGCGAGCACGCTGACCAACAGCTAGCCACGAGGAATTAACTGTTTACGATCCCTAAATTAAAGCTTACACTCATTATTTGCGTTACATAATATTACCCAACTACAGAGGCGGTGTTCAGAATAGGCAAGGGAAGTCAGATATCCCCTAGAAACTATCAAACTCCCACCACAAACGTTCTTACTGGCTCGTTCTTTTTTCTTCTTGCAACGTTTTTTATTTCTTTTTTAAACTTTTTTATGTATAAAATAGATTCGTGAGAAGGATGCGAAAAACATCTTTATCTCATCCTGCTTCCAGTAAGATTTCATTTCATTCACGTCATTTCTGCTATTGCTCCATTGCTTCCTGCACGAGACCTTCTCTACGACAATCTCAACTTTGAATGTTTTCGGTTTTAATTTGAACGTGCATTTTTTGCTCATTTATTGCGAATTCTATTTTGAAATTCCACAATATTTCTCTTGTACATGCTTCATTGATCTTTGGCAATTGCAGTAAGATCATTTTCGCCCCTAGGTCATATTGCTAATTCGCCTCAATACGTTTTTACTAAAAAACGAATTCACGTGTAAATACATATTTTTCTAACTACAAGATACCTCCATTAACACGATCATATGTGTAGATCAGAGATCATTTACTGCTGCCAAAAACTGACCTCGATGTTTTGACAAAAATTCAGGTTTTGGGAATCTTTGATACTGAGTTTCTTTCTTTCTTTCTTTCTTTCTTTCTTTCTTTCTTTCTTTCTTTCTTTCTTTCTTTCTTTCTTTCTTTCTTTCTTTCTTTCTTTCTTTCTTTCTTTCTTTCTTTCTTTCTTTCTTTCAAAACGACTGTCTGACGTATGGTTTATCGGACTATAGGTTCGTTAGTGCTTAAACCGTTCACACGACTTTCGCCCAAACTGATCCTCTCCAATTGATCTGGTTGATTCTACGGCTGCTCTACCTTGAATCGGATCTTTTCATTCTGAGGTACAATACATGAAGCTTCGAGAACTTTTAAAATTTTTTTCCCCCTTGAATCGAGAAATGTACGTTCATAAAAATGACACTGGTCTCTTTTTCAATGAAACGTCTAAAATTTCTAAAGTTACAGAAATATTTAATGGTTTAAACCAACACCCATATTCTTAACCTTAGACATTCAATAATATCATGACAATAAGTGTGTTTTTTTTAATAATTTTGATTTAAATCGTCTGAAGTTTAAATTGTTCGTAAACATGTTTTTCTCCAAATATTTTTGTGTAATGATATACACCGGTAGTACTCAACGCACAAAATCATTTGGCATAAGTAACGTTTTCATTAAAACTTGTCATTATTGAAAATGTATTTTTTGTTGCGCTGGCAACTAATGATTTAGATTGTCATTGAAATAAATTTAGAATTGCAAAGTTTATTATTAGACGCTTATTCATTAAGAATGTTTAAAAAACACTTTTTCGGTATCAGGGGACCCCAAAACATGTATTTCCGTTGACATCGATTTTCCGCAGCATTATATAACTTCTCCTATACCACGTATATTGCTTAGTATATACATACATATACGAGAAAGTAAAAACTGTATAAAAAATAATGTGTGTTTAACTGTATGTAAAAAATTGGCCTAACGGAGTGATGTGTCGCGCATCATTGGAAAACACAAAATGGTATGCTGTTGGTTGATGCGAGAATATCTCTCAGTTATAAGAATTTTACATTTAAAAAAGAAAACTTGTATTTAAATTGGTGGGTGGGAAGTAAGATCCGCGAAAGCAAGAATAGGGGGCCTCCAAATTAACGTAGGCCCAAGGGCGGCCAAAGCTGTTAAAACGGGCCTGCTTAACCGTGGTTTGTTTTGCCTCGAACGTCGTCTCCTCAGAGCAGGATATCCCTCACAAACGAAACGGGGCGTGAAAAAAAGACAATGCGGTTGCAGATCTGCATTACTCGTATCTCTTCCACATCCCGTTTCGTTTCGTGAGGGAAGTCCCGCTCTCAGGAGACAACGTTGGAAGCAGTACAACCACGTTCAACACTTCGCCAGCATTGCCAACTCTTGAACATTACCAACCAATTTAAAGATAGACTCGGTGATTCGTATTACACGAACGATTTTTTTTTTTTTTGTTATTTAAGGTCGCATCAACTTCTAGGTCATTAGCGACCACTATTGCTTGTAACGGTATGGTAACTGTGAGGATGACACGATATGATGATGATAGGAGTGAAAGGACGAACACAAAGACCCACGTGAATACAAACACACGATAAAAATAGAAAACTAATAGCACGAATGAAAATAAATGTTTGTAACGATAATAGGTTTTAGTAAAATTCTACATAATAAATGCCAATTTACAGAAAGATGAAGCTTATTGAGAGATGAGGCGAAATACGCAGTATAAAACGCACCATAAAGTCATGTTCATATTATTGGAAATGGGATGTTTTATACATATCCCAAGTGAACATATACTGTTATTGCAAGGAAAACCATATAAATTTTGCATTGAAATCCGGTTCCTAATTATATTACTTCATCATTATTATTCTTACAGTCAGGACTCGTACAGGCCCAACATTTGAAGCAAACGCATGTAGATAGATATTTATTATTCTTACAGATAGGTTTGTGCAACCTTGTGACAGAACACTGTAGTTTACATATTACGATTGGGAGTATTATTACAATGTAACTTTAAATTATTTTAAGACAATAAAAATAATAATAATTAATAATAGTATAACAATGATAACAATAACGGCATAAATAGCAGTAACTATGTTTTATGTCTGTCTTGCACAGACATTTTAAATTAATGAATACACGACATTTTAATCACACTGCACTCCACTTCCCTTCACAGAACTTCTCTTTCTATTTCTCTATTGCACTACACTTCACAACAGATCACCACACTTCAATGCAAATACTTCTTTGAATATAATTATCTATTTAATACAGCATTGCATTTAATAGTACTTATTACAATACTAACAATAATAATAATAATAATAATACAATAACTGTTTTAATAAGACTAACTTACTAATTACTAAAGTTCACAAATATCATTAGTTAATTTACTTGTAAATCTTTGAATACCTAGAGGAAAGGAGTCCAAGACTATCGTAAGCAACTTATTCCAGTCCGTTATTCTTCTATTTGTAAAGGAAATTTTTCCAACGTATATTCTCTGTGGCCGGAACCGAATTTTATGCTTGTGATTTCCTCTACTAAAGCATGTGGTAGGATCTACTGAGTCGTATGTAGATATCTTTCCAAGCTGGATAACCGGCATACGCTTTGTACCAGGCACAGAGTCTTGCCTTAACCCTCCTGTTGTCTAGTCTTCCATTCTACTTTCTTCCTACTGCTTCGTTAAGTAAGATTACACGCTCTTCCCTGATCTCTATTCAAATATTCTTTCTGTGATTTTCTATAAATGTTCCAACAAATCGCTATGTATTCCATTAATGGGCGAACTAGATATAAGTAAGCTAACTGTAAGTAAGCTCTTGTTTCGCAATACCCTTTTTTAGTATCCGCGTAGGAAAATGCAAAGACCTCCAGGATTTCTCTCCGACAAAGTTTACCTGACTTTCCCTTCTCAATTTTCTATCTATCTAACTATTCATTGTCATGCTATTCTTTTCCACCCAGAAATGAAGTCTATCTAGATCACCCTGCATAATATCCTCGTCTACTTTTGATTGAATAACTCAGTATATTATACAATCATCTGCAAATAGTCGTACTTTTGAAAATAAATATCTGGCAGGTCATTCACAAACGCGAGAAACAAGATAGGTTCAATAACGCTTCCTTGTGGGATTCCTGAAGTTACCTTTGCTAGAATTCAAAATTGTTTTCCAATTCGGACTTTCTGTTTTCTATCTCAAAGAAGCTCATCAATCCACGCCACAATTCTGGTGTCCACACCCGAATGCAGTAATTTTTGAACCAGTTTATCGTGTGAACAACTTCAAATGCCTTCGCAAAATCTATTATAACAGCATCCACCCTCCCACTACCGTCAGCTTCATCTGCTGTATCCTGAAACAATAATACTATCTGACTCTCGCAAGAGAAACCATTCCTAAAACCATGCTCCCTCTGAAATAGCCATTCTTTTTGTTCCCATTCTTGTCTAGAATAGCTAGTTATCAAATATTCCATTAGCTTACATACAACTGACGTAAGACTTACCGGTCTATAATTGGCTAAGACAGTCCTGTCACCACTCTTAAAAATTTACTTAGTTAAATTCAATACATAGGTAAATTATTCAAAAACACAGCATTGGTCAATGAATTTCAATAATATTGTTGTATTAAATGATATTGGCATTACCAAAAATATACATTTCTTTGTTTTACCACGATTCCAGAGACCCCAATAAGATCTGGTGCAGTGCTTGCTTAATATTACAGAATAGTAACTTCCCAGTGATTGCTGAAATATTTAATTTCGGATCTATTTTATATCTTTATATGATACAAAGTGCAGTGTAGTACTCAACTAATACGGATTAGATTGGAAAGCATTTCCGTTTAACTTTATAAACCGTGGAGAAACATTGCTTATTATATTCCAAAGTTCTCTCATCATGAGGTGACCTTCAGTTTTTATTATGGCAAAACAGACCAGCAAAAATATCATTTTCAATCATTCTACAGAGCCGTTTCCCTATTTACCCACGCCTCCCTATAAAACCGACTTTCCCATGAATTTAAAATTATCCAACAACCGCAGATGTCTGGCAAAAACATCACGAGTTCTTACAACCGCACCGCCAGATCTACAGAAAGCGATATATGTGAATGCAGCTGCGTTTGACGGATATGACGTAATTACCGTTTCCTGTTCGTTGGTATGAGTCCAAAGGCGCATTCGCGAGCCCTCCGTTTTGGCGATCGGTGCGTTTTCTTGCCTTCTCTCGAAATGGCCGTTATAGCAACTATCATCGGCATACTGGCGCTAACAGCAGCAGCGCATTATTATTATACGACTTATAATAATGAACAGGTATGTTTTCTCACTTTTTTCAATAGAGATTCGTAATATTATTATTTGACTACGAGAGCATACTTCAAAACATGTCGCTTTCAATTATCTCAGTGTCATATTTAACGTAAATACATATTAATTCAATTTATAAAGAGTAGTAACAAGTTAAGCCAATAAATAACTTGATACTGTTATGTAACAGTTGTGGTAAAACGCAAAATGGCCAACTTTATTTTGTGTCTGAGTGTTGAATTGTCTGTACACTATTGATTCCACTAAAATTTCCAAAACGTCGTTTCTGAATTCATTTGGGCGGAATCATTTTGTATTTTTTAATGTTTCTTACAATTTTGGTTGTACGAGGCGAACAAATATTATACATGCTTGTTTTTTTTTCATTATCATGGAACATCTTGAACTTCTATCTCCCCACGCTCTTTTCGTATCTTGCCTCTGTATGTGAACGAACACTGAGAGTTATGTTACGAAAGAAAAGATCCAAGACTAAATAATATTATGTATACTATTTATTTCATTGTTACTCAGGTTCTTGTTTCAGTTAAACAGTACGTGAACGAAAGCTAGGTGATTGTTACGTTAAAGTACACTCGTCTTGAGACTCGAATACGAGGGTTGTTAAGAAATTATCGACATTATCTAGTAGTGAAACAATTGTAAGGTCTTCAGGATTTTTTTGTTTTGACTTTTTGTTTTTTACGATAAAATTGTAGGGTAAATTATTGTTTTCCAATCCACATGCCAAGTAATTGCCAGGAATATGCAGCTTTGTTAGGATTCTATTACAATAGAAAGAAGCTCCGCAAAATTTGATATTTTACTTGATTTTTTTAATCCTCAGAGCCCTTGTATTGTTTCTCCCTTGAAACAGGCGAAAAATCAGATGACTTAGTGTAGTTCAGACCAAACCAGGTCAGTCATAGACGAGATAAATGACGATATTATGACATAGAAAACAAGAAATTATTAGAAAAAATCACGTTTGTGCGTATGCTACAATTTTAAAAAAGAGAACTGCTTTAGTGTAAAAAATTATTAACTAGTGGTGGCAATTTGACCATAATTCATTTTTTTATGATATTGAGGTTCTCTAGCCGAAGAGTGTAATTAGCATATAATAAATAATTAGCATATAATTGTTTTGAATTTTGTTCTAGTACATTGCGAGCGTGTACAATTACGTCAAAGGCGTGGATTGTCTTAATTCCTAGAAATACCTATGAAATTTGAAAAACGACCTATAAAAAATGTTTTTTTGCAATCCACAGAACCCTAATATTGTTTCTCCCCTCAAATCAAGCCACAAATCAGGTGAATTAGTGTGGAGAGTACCAGACGAAACTAAGTTAGTCGTAGACGAGATATAGTTTTAATCATATTATGTTATAGAAAACAAGAAAATATTAGGAAAAGTCGCGTTTGTGCGTATGCTACAGTTTTAAAAAGGAGATCTGCTCTATTGTCAAACATTATTGATTAGTGGTCGAAATTTGACCTAAATTCATTTTTTACAATTTTTTTACGATATTGAGGTTCTTTTGTCGAAGAGTATACCTGTATAATTACAGCATATAATTGTTTTGAGTTTTGTTCTATTACATTATCTGCGAACGTGTACAATTATGTCAATAGCGTGTGATGTTTGTCTTAATTCCCTGAAATACCTATAAAATTTGAAAAACTACCGATGAAAATAGGGTATCCGGGTTTCACGCCTCTCTCGCATAGCTGCGAAATACAAGGGAAACAGGTCTCGTGGCTCCAACCGCAAACGAAGAGGAAGCTCGGAAGTAGAATTGACGGTATCCAGTAGCCTTTGTTTGCGTCCAATGTTACGTGAAGTGAAAACATTATATTAGTACGATCTTTTGTTAAAACTAAGCGTTCACGTGTGAAAAGTATCATTACTATTACTAATAACATGCTTATATATATATATATATAT